ACAGTTGAGACTGCGAGAAAATGCAAGGGAACAACGTTAACTACAAGCTGGCTCAAGAATGTAACGCTTCGGGAACGAAGTCAACTCGTAGATCGAAACCGGCGGAAAGCAGTTAAACGCCAAAGGTGGCATTATTTTATATCAAAAAGTTGTCCTCATACAGGCTCGACCAACGCTGACTCGCGTTTTATTGTAACTTTAGAGGTGAAGCGTTCGGCTGTATTTACAACAAATGGTCGAGCTGAGCAAATGGAACCACATCGTTGTCGTACACCCCCCCTAGTGAATATTATTAAATTTGAGTTTGTGATCATGATTAAATTATCAAATATGCTAGTCATTTTGTTGCTTCAGAAGTTGTTTTACTTCCTTGAGCCTCGCGCGAAGTTTTTTGAATCTCGCCGCTTCATATATATAAAATATGCTTATTTATTAATTCCTATATATTGTTATTTATCTGTGGCCAGGCAATTGATAACAATTCGTACTGACAGCTGGCATATAAAGCACAGTGTAAAAATACATATCAGATCTTTAGAGGCAAGCACCACGGGAAAACTTCGAGGCTTAGAAGAACGACTGAAACCTCGAAGTATAACAATTATTGCTAAAGCAGCGCCTATTATGCTGAGTTGTTGAGACAAAGCTCTATTGAACTTCTAATAGATCAATGGTCGTTTTTATACTTTCATTATATGTACACCACTGCTCGGCCTGCTAAGTTGCACCCGCTAATCTTTTATAGCTTCAATTGTCTGTATCAGCTACAGCAGCGCTGCTAGACGAACTTCGGTATTGTTTTTCTCACCTACGCCGTTCGGTTACGTTAAGCCGTTTTTACTTTATAACTCGTTGTAATGTTTGAATCTAGTGTTTCTTCCCCTTTTTAGCTACTGTCCTATTGGCTTGGAGTGCTTTAACTTTTTTCAACACTACGGAGGCAGTAAGGGATACGTGCTCGATTTTGTAGCTACATAACTTTAGTTGCGCGACGGCACAAGTTTCAATCAGAAAGTTGCAATAATCAAGTGTAGCTCTTCCTGCGGAAAATTAAAAGCGTGTACTTTACGATTGACTTTATCTCATGAGCTTCAATGATCAACCTTTGAGCATATTTCTTAACTAGCTTTACGTATAATTTATAGAAAATTACTCACGTACAAATAGCTAAGTTTTCCATTTTAAGTTTAAGGAGGATTGATAAACTTTCCAGTGGTCCATGTGTTTACTGTACAATTTACGCACAGTGTGATGGTTTCCGTTAATCTTCTTCTATAATCTATCCTATACAGAAGTACTGAGTAAACATACTCCATTCATTCCACCTGCCACGTACTTATTTCATACAGCGAAAGTAGAAAATTTTGACTTCATGTTAGAATTAGACTAATTTTTCCTATGAAAAAATCATTAGTCTAGGCAAACAATATCTAAGGACTATGCAGGATAACTTCTCCAGTTTTGCATCTTTGCCACCGAATAAGAACGTATGCCAGATCTAGCGCTAAGATCGGCGCAGTTTGAGATGAATCAGCCTTTACTGCAGATTTCAACAGCTCCTTGTTTAGCCTCGTTCTCCGGCGCGTTTTCGGTTTGCAAACAACGGCTCACGGTGTTTTTAATAACAAAGCGTTTATCGAATCTATGGGTTCACCCAAAGTAAGCTGCCTCCGCCGGTAAAACTTAAACGCGTAAACTTTTTGAAACTTTTAGATTTTTCCATGGCTTACTGCAGCTTATTTGGCAGGGGCCCGAGTGATGATATTCGAATAGATGGTCTCAAATTTCAAACGGTATAGAAACATCTAGAACATAAAATAAAGGTGTTCCAAAATGTCGTGCCGTTTTAAAGTGGCGTCGTCTTGCAAAATGAGATGAGTGCTTGTCACGTTTCAGATTGAACAACCTAATACGGGAATACATATACATGGATGTTTCAGGATAGACAAATGTTCGCGCAGATTATTTCAATCAATTACACCCAAAATGCCTTTTACATTCATACTAATGTCGACATTTCTTCAAGAAAGGTTTCGACTGCTATATATGCTTACTGGCGGCAACGGCGGCGACCCACCCGACAAGCAAATCGAGCCAAAGCATTCGGGCGACCCCACGTATATGGGCACGGCCTGAAAGGGCAGCAATAGCAGGGCTACAATGAAGGCAGCAAGTGAATCGACGGCTTCCCAGGGGGCCCGTCAGTGCCTGGCCGAGTCAACCGACCTTCGTTTCGCCTCTCCCTTTTACATCGTCCTAACGAAACGCCCATTCCCTCCGCTTATGGCTGCTTGCAGCCTCTCTGTATAGCTCGTTCAGGCCATCTTCGCTGCTTCCCCCATACCGCTCCCGTCGGCCTTTCAAGGCCTCGTCAACTACTGGGCTTTATCGCCAGGCAGCTAGACCAGTAGCAAGAAGGAGACTTGTCTCTCCGAATTTCCTGGCATAGAAGGCCCCATAATAAGAATGAAGGACTCAGACGTAAACAGCAACGGCAGCTGTAGCAGGGTGTCTGTATAAGGGGTAGCCAGTGTTCTCGTTCGGCAGCAATAGGACCATTGTGGTTTAAGAACCGTAGAATGTAGGCGGTCGGCAGCTTGTAGATGTACATATTTATAGTGTAAGCTGACGGTGATGGTGGTGCGAAGTCCTCCTCGAGCGCTGGAATATCGTCGCTGATGGCGATAGCAGTAGAAACTCTAGGGTTTGTTGAATCGGGCTCAGTTTGGTTGGCCTGCATCACAATGAATAAGCAAGTAAAGTGACACTGTTTCGGGGGTCAAAGATAGGAAGAAGCGGTAACGAAGAAGGGCCGGAGCCATTGCCCGAACGTCCATTACACCCTGGCGCATTATCTGGCTGCATGCTACCGTTGCTTCCGCTGCGGTTCTTTATGTTGCTTGCTTGCTTGCTTCGACTGTATCGAGAGGGTCAGCGTAGGCTGTATTGAGGCCCGTGTGTCCTTCTAGGCGCAAGATTAATTCGTACGCTATACAAATCATAGTACAATTTGGGAGGCCTATTATTGCCACAAGTCTGACGTGCACATGTTAACCTGCTTGTGGGCCATTTTCCGTGTTTGTCTGGCGGACATCCCCCCTGATTATAGCTACCTCTTACCTTGTTATTGGAACGACGTACCGTAATTAAAACTCGATAGGTCTTCTATAGAAACGACAACATGAATTTCCCTCTTAACTGTATACCTCAGAGGATCTTTGTCACATTACTTTTCCTTTTTCGAGATTCTAGATTATAGACCTTCGTCTATTCCTTAGTTTCTTTATGCCTATTCGATAAGCGGCGCTCATCAATGAGGACTGTTTCGGGTAGCACCGAAATTGACTCTTTCGACATAACCCCCTTCACCATTCATCCTAGCTGGTGAGGCCAAGTGTTCAATTTTTTTCGACTATAAGGTCTTTTCACCCAGCAACTTAAATTGAACGGATTGTTGATAGCGAATAATGGGAGAAATCCATGTATGATAGACTGCTAAGCCAGAGCAGCACAGATTTTTGTTTGCTCAGTACGAACTGTTTTTCTCCATTCATAACACGAACTGCGAGCAAATGCAAATCCTTCGTGCGAGTGAATTCGTTAAGTGATTTCGGTAACGAAAGCGAGCTTATGGGTAAACGCGCGCGTTTGAAGTGAATAAAACGCAGATGAATGTGAGCCTCTGCAAGAACTACGACACCCGTTGATCCCGATCCGTTGATTATATGATGCGTACTGGCGAAGCGTGTAACTCGTGCGGCCGCTCGTGAGCACCATTGAATGGATATAGAATAGATATTCTACATACTAGGATTTAAACGGATTAAGAGACCACATTCCGACACCTCTTCCTTATTATTTTGCTCATGCTCAATCGATAAGGGTATGCTAGGAGCGTCGGATGGTGAGTGCTACGCTATCCGGTCTACAATCTTGAAGATGTCTTCCATTGTCACAGTTGCCCGTATGTGTATGTCCCGCCTCGAATTTACATACAGGTATACAAATACATACTGTACAAGGTAATCCTAAATACATGTATGGACACGTTTTAATGAATAGGTGCACATCCATATTACCGCATAAATGACTGTCAAAAAGCAAGTGTAATAAAAAGACAAGGGGGGAAACAGCATTCGGAACGAGTATACGTAAATGATTACAGTATTAACTTAAATTAGCTTTGCACAATGGCCGTTCTTAGTGGCCACAGGCATGGGTGAATTATACGACCTCTGCGAACAAAGTACGCACTGCCACCGTTTATCTGTATATTGAATTTTCTACACGTCTTCATGCTTGTTTGTGTCTATGTGTGTAGCTGTGTGAGCAAGCTTCACTGCCGTACCTTCAGTCAGCTTCCTGTGGTGATCTGCACTGGTCTTCCTTTTCGCCTTTCTTTTATCGCATTGCCTATCCCACAGTCCATTCCATTGTATAACATCACCGCTACTGGCCTAAACTCTGGTTGAGTAGCATCGCTGCCTTATCATTTCTCTTGTCCATCGTTATTTTCTTCTTCGTTCGTCGGCCCGTCCGTCCATCCGCTCGATTGCGCTGTTATTCCTCCTTTCCTTATATTTCCTTGTTTTTCCTTTTTCTCCTCTCTCTCTAGACTAATATCGTTGTTGTTCAAGCAGATCTATCGTGATCGGCAAGCTTATTTGTTCGTTAAGAATCGTTCTGTACCTCAGCTAGCTCCCCCGACCTTCCTATTGGTCTCGTTTCTCCGGCATCGAAGTCGCCGCCATCACCACTACAGCCAACGTGGATCAGACCGTTGTCCCGACCGAACGTCTCCGGACTATCTCTCCTCCAAAACGGACCCTCGAGACGGCAACTGTAGACTCACCTTGTGGCCGTATGCCCTCTCTCTCGGATCGACCCTCATCCCTCGCCTCGCCACCAGCGACCCCGCGTTCATCCGCATCCTCTCCAGGCCCGCGACTGTTAAGGCCTTCCTGTGGGTCTCTAGTGCTTCGAGGTTTGTACTCCGAGAGCACGTTGTGTACCGATCAGCTCATAACAACGTTTGTTTCATCGGCAAAGCGAGCCAGAGCCAGTAAGCCAGTCTAATAATGTCTGCAGTCAGTTGGTGACTGACGACTTGGGTGAAGTGGGTGATAACGGCAGTGTTCGATAACGAAAGGCCGAAGTTCCTCGAAGACCAAACAAACTCTCTGGTCCAGGAGGGCCGGAGATGCGAAGAGGGCACGTGGGTGCGACGGTCATGGTGATAACGACGAGCCAACAAACAAGAAGTAGTAATAGTGATTGTAATGTGCTTTCATTAATGCTGTTGCTAATCGCTCGGCCAAATCAATAATAGGCGCATCCGCAACAGAAAGCATCTTGAGATACCGGCACTTAGTGGAAGGCCGGGGTGGTGGTAATTAAGGAAAAGTGGTCACTGATCTAGTCCTGTCATACGCTGTTCATCACACTCAACCAGTTTCGATACTCAGCATTAATAGTATTCACTTCTCAGTTAGGATATATTTGCGGTGCTTATTCGAGCTAGATAATGTGTAAAGTAACGCAATCGTGTGCTGTTAGTGACGACTAGCCCGGAATCATCTATCATTATTCTTTATAGTTATCGCTACTCTTCGTTTGTATTGTATTAATCGACTCTTACCTCTTAAACTCGAGAGTCAGCTATTCTAACAAGACTGATCGCATCGAGAGTAACAAATTGTGTTCGCCGCGTCGGATTCAGTGTTTATGTACGTGTATGGTGTTTGTTTGTATCTTTCTGTTCGGGTACGACCCGGCAATCGTTGCTTCGTGGTCTGAACTCCGTACTATGGTAAGTCGTTGACTATGCGATTGTGTTCAGGGGTGCGTGTTTTCGGACAGCTTACACAGCCCGCTCATGAATAGGCTGGTGATCGACCTTTACAACGCGGACTATTCGTTAGGTTAGTACTAGATTTAAAAGCTTCCGTGGGAGCTTGAAAAAAGGCCTGGTCACCGTCTAGTTGGCAGGCATCGAACACAAGACAATAACAACGGATTATGCACAACTCAGCTGAACCTAGATACTAAAAGCGGTCGCTGCAGCCATCTCTGAAGCTCATTGCACACGGATGGCAACGGGGACTTATGGTACACGGAGATAGGACCGGTATCGTCGTTTTTGCCGTTGCTACAGTTGCTGCTGCTGTTCTGCTGTCGCAACGCCGCTTGTGGTGATATGGTGCGAGTGTATTAAATTACTATGGCCTACCGCCTTGGCCACTACTCTGAAGCCTTAGTTGCTTTGCCGGAAGTCGTTGGGTCAGTAAGTAGCAGCAGCAGCGGCGGCGGCGGCGGCGGCGGCGGCGGCGGCGACGACGACAGCAATGACAGGAGCATGAGCGGTGGAACGCTGTGAGCGACGAGCCGTAACGATAGTTTTCTACAAGTGGGCCCAACCAACTAGCCTGATGCGGCTTGGGCTTCTTCGGCCTGCCTAGAGTCGGCCTTGCCTCCTTCGGTTAAACAGCACTGAACCTCGTCGGCTGGCTATCGAATACTAGTGGAAGCAGTAGTAGCATTGGCTACCAGTGGCCACCGGCGCGGCTGGATGGGACCAGGAGGGGACCGGAAACGAAAAGAGGATCGTTAAGTCAAGAGCCCTCTAAAGGCGAACGTGACATGGCATGCATTTATTTGCCCCCTAGGGGGCTGACTGTTATTGGTGCTGTCAAAGCAAGGGACAAAGCTAAGTTCGAGCTCAAGTAAAAAAAGAAAAAAGTGCGAAAGTGAAGGCAAGAAGGCAGAAAAAGAGAAACTTGCCATGGAACTGTATAGTTCCGTCCACTTTCTAGTTGATACTATTCCAGTGCCAATCAACGTACGGTAGAATCCATATCGAACCAACAGCAGGGGCTGCTGGAGGGAGAATATCCAATCTCAGATTTAACGATCCATGATTCCTTTACTGTATTAGATCAAAGGCGTGCTGCCAAATAAAACCACAGATGCAATAAACGACAGAAAAAAAGGAAACGACAGAGATTCGGAAAAAAAGAAAAGCCTAATTTACCATCACTGACCAGCTGAACAGTAACATGCAGTGCATCGTAGTGGGCATACTTTCATAACATAATACGTATACGTATATACGTATATATATATACAAGGTATGTCATCTAAACTGGTACTTCTTCTTATGTTTTGTTTATAAGATTGATTTTTTGTATTTGCTAAAGTTGCTATTCCTGACAATTATGGTTATTCAACACTCATCGCAACTGCAGCCTTAATTTGTGACCTAAATCGTTTACTGGTCGTTTTCGAAATGTTCCTTCTTTAATCTACGAATAACTTCAATAGCTATATATTTCTAAATATTTCTTTGTCAAATTATATTAGTAAGTGTACTCTGGGCAAAACTTCGCTCAGATACGCCACATATAAAAAATTCCAAAAGCCTTACATTTTGGGCTGATAGGAACCTAAGACTTTTAAAAATACAGCAGATTCAACGGCCAAAAAGTCTCGAGAAAATATAACTGTTAAAGCTTATTTTGATGGCCCAAGCAATAATTTATATTCTTCTCTCTAAATGGCCGCAAATTTCTGTGTAAAAAATGCAAATGTATCAAAAATGTTTTTAAGCTCTTCTAACAAATGCTTAAGCCTGATCCCTAAGAAGGACCTTCCAGTTCGACACTTAGAAATCCTCCGCAGATATTTGATCATCAAAACTAGAAACAACGAAGGCCATTAATTTGATTTCTTAATTGCTTAGCGCGAAGAGATTGGTTTATGGCTAACCTTTTTTTAGCTACCGTAAATTTGCTGCTCAGTTCCAGAACCGACCGCCTTCTTGTTGGCACCGGAAGCGGCGTATGAATATATGCCCGCTAGGACAAATAGCCCGTCAGAGCCGTACTTTGTATATAATATACAATGGCTTGCCGAAAAGAAAGTATTGTCGCAGTAGCTTTTCTGAGTAAATGACTTCGAAGTCACATATCTAAGGCAATATGAATGGCGTCTGGTTGGCCTTAATATCATTTGAAAGCCAGTAATAGTCATGCTAAGATTACCTTGCAAAGTGAAGAACCTAAAGGTAAATTAAATTTTTGAAAAAATCGTTATCTGTAAAATTTTATTACGTGTGAAGTCTGTATGGTCAAAATGCGTTATTGGAACAAACGTTTTAGAGACGATTTTATCACCTTCGTTTTGGGAATTCGATGTGAAAATTATACCTCGTGTTGATCGACTAACTGTGAAAATATTAATGAAGTTATTGCTAAACTTGAGTAGGACGAGTACGTGATAATATAGCTAAGGAACTGGAACAAAAGGTCGATGGTTGGATGCCACGTTGATTAACGTAATAAAATTTATTTGATCGTAATTCAGTCTGTGAATTCTACAGAAGCGGAATTAAATTATTGTTACAGCGGTTAAGGAAAAATTAATTACATACAGTAACAATATGGACATAGGAAGATCTGCCCTGCAAAGCTGAGGCTTACGGTGAAGATAGTCTTTGCCACAGTGGCGCTGGAAAGCGGTCATGCGTTTCGAATAGCCAACCAATAAAATGACAACGCACCGTTGACAAAAATCGGCCGGTTCTTGATTGCGGCATGATGACCAGCATGATTCTTCATTATGACAAAAATAACAGATCTTTAGCTCCTTGAGAAAAATGGAAAGGATTATAGACGGAAAACCTTAGTGCATCTGAATTTTACATCATCAGATTATCATCTTTTTCGTGTTCTGCAAAGCTTCTTTAACCGTGCTATTTTCAATAGAAAGATTCAATAATCCGCTTAGAAACCGCGGTTGTACTACAGAATTGGGATTATTATGTTACCAGAAAATGGCAGAAGATCATCGATCACAGTGGCATAGATATAGTTTAGAAATATTATTTGAGAGTATATACAATATTTACCTTGTCTTTGGCCTAAGAACGGTCAATAGCTTCTCGAAAAGCTAATACGTATATTTTGCGATGTGATATAAGCGAAACATAAACGATACTTGTAAATTGGGTGGGAAGGGGGTATAAGCGAGAAATTGGTCCAACCAGTTGGAAGCACCATCTTCCATCAGTCAACATGTGCGGTTAATCCGGACAGCGTGTGTATATATGAGAGTTACGTTTGGTGAATGGCCGTGATGATCTGAATGCTACTTAAACTTCTTTCTCTGCGTGTTTTTTTTTTCTCACACGTATCAACCCATACAGCTGTTACTCAGCCGCTTCCAACGAAGTGTCGTATCTGCGACTGCCTGCTATATGCTGAATTAGCATAATATTCCTCCGACGAGGGGCATATGAGCGGTCACTTGCTAAGACCATTCTACTGCAGAAACTTAGCGATAAGGGCTGACAAAGGGAAGTTGGCGCCGTCTCCGCTTTGGGTCGACCAGGGTCACGAATGCTTACCCGCTGGCCCGAACAGCGGCAAGAAATTCGCCATCAACTCTGGTTAACTGGGGCCATGCCAAGATGCTGGCGAGTTTGGGGAACTTATGACCTAAAACGGTTCAATGGGTAGAGTGGCGTTTTAAGTCAAGTCTGTGCTGCCTGAATCCTAATGAGATAGCGAGAGGCTTTAGGACATGTAAGTTGCTACCAGCTAGATAGCCGCCCGGGCAGGCGAGCAGGTATTGACGTGCAAAGCCCTGCATCGACCTAAACGGGACTAGGTCAGACAGAATTTTCCGTAGTTCAAGTGCCCGGCCTCTTACGTTTAGGAGACTCAATGAGCCATGAGCGTTTTCTGACCGTTCTTTCGCGATGAAGCGATCCATGTGCTTATTATTAATCGTCAAAAAGTGCACATCATAGATACTCTACTTGATCATTTTGATCTATATTGAGGAAAGCCTCTGACAATATACAGATCTGGCTTTTAATCTCAAACTTTGTATATGTGTATCTATTTTGTGGTAGACCGGATGTCGGATAGGTGAAAGGGTGCTCCGAATTTTGTCGAGTCTGTGTTCAATGATCAATGGTCGAAACGATGAGACGTACTAATTAACTCACGCTCATAGAGCTGAAGACTGTTCAAGCTAGTGCCAACTGAACATGTGTATCTTAGGGTTGCTATGTGAAAGGCAATTTCTGTAAAAATCATACAGAATGACGTATGTACATGTACGCATGTTCGTACGGTCGTATAAACACCATGTTATCGGGCCGGCTTTATTCTGCACTTCGAAAAGTACGTCTTACCACCCAACAGCCACCGGTCGTCCTAATTTCCAATGCGACACTCGTGTTTTGCCTGAGCGATATTTGGGTCGATATTATGCAGTACACGGTAACTCGCAGAGACCTATGTGTAAGCAAGATCAGATAGAATGTACCGTGAAAATCTGTCAACAAAAATGTATATTAGAATCAATTTTGTATTGAACATACCAATAGATAACAGGTTGAGTTTAAGCACAAGCTGAGTTTTTCCAAAATATCTTAATAAATTACAGACTATAGGAACACGGCAATCCATGACCTGACCAGCGAACGTGCTTGCCAACATGACTGGTTGTATTTCTGTGAGCGTACTCGTTCACATCTAAAATATGCGCTATTGTTAAATTTAATCATATGATGACGTGGATAGAGTTGATGCAGGGTCTTTCTGCATCACGAAAGTATAGACAAGACGCCATATTTTATCGCGTAAAGGCCGAGCCGTTATCCGTCCTATGATGTCCTAGACGTCGGCCGCTCCTCTCCTATTGACAGACCAAGTAAGCGTCAAACGTATTGCTGTCTTATTAAATAGTTCCTTACTCCTGTTTGAATGCTAACTTCCGATCGGATACATGGATGGTAGTTATTCAAGGAGTTCCATGTCTGCTTTTAGTCAGGCTCGTGGCAGTGTAGTTCTATTGAATCAGACGTTAACGCAGATATCAACTAACGTATCTTATTCAGAGAAAATTTGTTTATCTAATTAATTATAACCGCTTTACTCCGACTAAAGTCGGACGCATTTTTGGGGGGCTATAAAAAACGAAAGGCGGACTCAGTATGGCGGACATCACATTGTCATGTTCCGCTCATTCCGCTGGCGACAGACCAAATGAATCTTTTACGATTGGTCATACGGTGAGAATTAGCAAGTAAAAGCAGATACTACGACAAAAGGATCGATCTAAGTAAACCTAAAAGCGTGACCCTAGTAGTTTTCTAACTAATGCATTTATGTATTAGAGTATAATTTTGAACAGAAGCAGAAGACAATTATTGTTGATATGAATTGGCTTGAAGATTAACTGGAATACTCGCTGAAAGTTATTTGCTACTTACTAAAGGATTTTGACTTCGTAACTTTGTGAGCATTAAAATCGTGTAGAATATTAAAGGAAAATGTCAAATTTTCTGGAACTATTTGGCGGGTTTGCATCTTATGGACTGGTACCAATTCTTCTCTGAAGCTTAATCACAAATAATAGTTTTTTTGTTCTGTAAACTCATTATAATAACGTTCGCTGTATGGTGCTACCACTACCAGCTCCATGAAGTACTGATCGTGAAGGCATAGGTTCAGCGATACGTTGAGACTATTTCCGTACGAAGGCGATTAATCAGCGGACGTCTCTGTTCATAAAGTCGATGAGAACAGTTAAGGCATTGCAGAGTCATGAGTGGAACGCCTCCGCAGCCCCACTTTGCGCTTCTATAGAGAAGATAAATGAGAACATCTAACTTAGCTTACCCCTAGATCGCTAAGCAACGAAACATATTTATCAAATTTTTTTTGAACATATACAGGCAACTTTCAGCAGAAAAAAAAAAAGGCTGGAGTTTTTTAATACATGTCTCGAACTCGATATTTATTAAATAGATCTGTAGAAAAAAAAAATTTAATTCATCATTTCAAACTTTGATCGAAACAGTCTTTTGGAAAAAGCCCTTTTGTGCATCTACCGTCGACCTAGCTGTCTTATTTTTATTACCTTATTTGTTGTACGATTCCGTGACGCTCGTGTTATCGGCAAGATCATGTCGTAGCTTTAGCGAAGGCACCAACCAACGTAAGCTGAAATTATCAATGACTCTTTAAAATGACACGTAATCCAACGCTACTTTTCAGCTAGGTAATATTAATCGTTTCCAATAGGTATCTAGAAACTGTCCCGTTCGTTGCTGGGG